AATATGTGGGGTAAGATGCGAGCAATTAGCTTACCTATTCATTATGAGCAAGACCATGCATCTGGAACGAGAAGATTCAAAATAAGGACATAGACGATAAAATTCAATTTAAAATCACAATTTAATAGATCAAATAAAGGTGAGAAGTAAGCATAAAAGATTTTATTGTCATACAAATTTTAAATTTCGACAGTCGAGCGAGCCCTCTGAGCTATAAAGGGGAGTTAGAGGAATCAAATCAGCTGTTAGACCTACTGAGCTGATAACCATAATGATTTAAATGCACAAAAAATTATACTTCATTTTTTAATAGATTTAAAAACTAACAATATAATAAAAAAGATTGTTTAATCTGAGTTGCAGAAAAAGTTTAAATTTTTTCTTAAATGAGAGTAGTTATCATGTATCATATCAGTTTTCAGATAACATCTTTGACTACATCACGTATGGTTGAGGTTGTCAGAGCGGCTTCTTCCTCCAGCATGAGGTTCGTTGCCTCTGCTCCTGCGAAGGTCATCATGTTTGGGGAGCATTCTGTTGTCTATGGGCATATGGCTATTGCCTCAGCAATAGATCTCAGAACATATTTTGATGTATCCGTCAAGTCATGTGACTATCCTGATAACGACTTTATTTTTTTGGAGTTTGAGGGTATTTGGCCAAATGGTATCAAGGTGAACAGGATACATTTACAAAATGGCTGTGAATCTTCGGATGAGGAAATTCTACTCGCTGCAAATAATTGTACACAAAAATGTCTTTCCGATAATAATATTAATTCCCCGAGTACTCTGCTTACAGTGGCTTTGTGTATGTGCATTGTAATCTTTATAAAAGCGTCCAGCAAAAGTGTTAATGGATCGGTTCCCCCCCTACACAACCGTAATTTTTTTGTATCCATCAAAGTGTCTTCCGAGGTTCCAATCGCCTCCGGTCTGGGATCATCTGCTTCTTTTTCTGTTGCGGGTGTGGTAGCTTGTCTTACTCTGAACGGATTTATTGATCCTTATTCATGGACACCTTCCGAACAGGAGTTTGTTCAAATTGCAAAATTGGCGAACCTTGCTGAAATGGTTGCTCATGGCAAACCTTCAGGTCTTGATGCCTCTATATGCACTCGGGGAGGTGCAATTACGTTCAAAATGGGAAGCCCTCCCATTTGTGAGCCCCTTATTCATCCTTTGGATTCATCTAGCAAAATATTGATAGTTAATTCTGGAATAGAGCGGTCCACTAAAGATGCTGTTGAATTCGTTCTTGACAAATACAGACAAGATCATGAAGGCATTGAAAGGATATTCTCAGATATCGACACAATTGCACATTCCGCCTGTAGAATAATGTCGGAACTAGATTTCAAAACCAGCAACCAGTTTACGAAGGAGCTTATGGATCTTGTTAGTAATGGTCACGATCTCCTCAAACAGTTAGGTGTTTCGCACCCTACGCTAGATCATATTGTCAGGATCGCCTCTGAATTTAATGTATCAGCTAAACTTACAGGTGCTGGCTGGGGTGGCTGTGTATTCGGCTTATTTCAAGAGGC